AAAAAAAAACAAATACTTTTATTTTGTTATAATGAATAATAATTATTATTTAAAATATAAATTCTCTCTATATATGTCTTATATATTAATATTAAAAAAGTTTATATATTATTTAATTGTTTTTTTTAGGTGAACCACGTATGGGTAATATGATTCATGCAACTGTACATGAAAATGAATATCAAGTAACTATACAAACAGTATTTCGTAAACCAGAAAATCTTTCACAATCACCATTTTTTATTAATGAAACAAATGAATATTATCCAATAAATAGTGAATGAAGTTCACCATATTCAAATACAATTTATTCTGATAGTAAGCAAAAATATTCTTTGCAAAAAAAACTTTGGTTTTTACATAGATGAATATCCAAGAGAAATTACAGAAAATATTGAGTGTAAGAATAAAATATTTTATTATGATTTATTTTTGTCTTATTAAATTATCTATTATAATTAATAGTCAACTCATGCATTAATTCGATTATTTGAAAAAAAAAAATAATTATAATAAAAAATCATTACATCAAATCGATATATTAAAAAAAGTTCAACGTTTAATAAAAGAAAAAGCTGATGTTAATATTAAAAATAAAGAAGGTTATACGATTCTACAATTGGCTATATGTAATGGATATTATAAATGTTTAGAAACACTTATTATAGATGGAAAAGCTAAATTAGATAAAAAAAAGGACCGTAAGTTCTATATATATATAGAGAGAGAGATTTTAATATCAATTGAAATCAAAGATTGACTGTGTATTTTTTCTTTTTTTTTGTTCAGATAAATATTGATATTCGAAATATTAAGAAATATTGATTTTGTTTTGTTTTGTAGACGAGGTAATACAGCATTACATGAATGTTGTTTATTAGGACTTGATGGTGCTGAGCCATTAAGAATTCTTCTCAAGTAAGTTTATATTTTTTAATGGCATACATTTAATGGAATATCTAAAAATATAGCAATCTATATCTAAATTATAGCAATCAATATCTAATTTAATACAGTAGTATCTATTCCGGTGAAAGGATACTAAAAGAAAATATTTTATCTAATTTTTTAATTAAACATCTTTTAAATCAATTAAATTGCTGAAATAAAAAATGTTCTATCTTTTAATTTAATATATTATCACTTTTAACAAATGACTATCAATCAATTTATCGAATTATCTAATTGATTTGAACGTAATCTATAATTGATTAGTACTTATCAATAAATTGAAAGAGTATATATGAGCTAGGAATGACGATAAGTGATAAGAAAAAAGTTAGTTTAAAAAATATAAAAAAATATACTATTAAAAAAATGGCAGCAGCATTATCAGATAATGATAAAACAGATTCAATAGACTCTGTTGAAGCTAAAAGAGCATTAATTGTGCAATCGTTTTCTTGTTTTTGCTGTGCTGTTTTTGTAAATAATTGATAATTGTATCTTTATTTTTTTCTATTACTTTAATTATTAATTAGATATAACTTTGTGTTGTTAGGTAATGTTATTTTATAAATTAGATATAAATAAATTTTAAAATTAGATATATTATTTTCTTAATTAGATATAAAAGCATCCTATATTAGATATAGATTTATTTTAAAATTAGATACAGATTGCTATATTTTTAGGTATTAGTTTATATTTACCCCTTTTTTAATTAGAAATTAAATAAGAAAATAATAAAATTTAATTTTTTTTTTGATAAAAGACATGGAGGTGATGCATCTTGGTTAAATGATAAAAATGAAAGTGTTATTGATATAGCAGCAAAACAAAATTGTCCAGAATTATTACAAGCTTTTTCTAAATATCAAAGTGAAAAAATGCTTAAACAACATATGAAAAATTCTTATGATGATCATACAAGAATAAAAACTGTTCATGATCATCATTCATCAGAAAAATTATAAAGAAAAGAAAAAATAAAAGTTTTTTTTTTCTTTCTTCGTATTGGATAATAGTTGATGAATGTTTGTTTTTAGTTTTTTTTTATTATTGTTTTTTCTTAGCAACTGAGTGCTTTGTGTTTTAAATTCTTTCTTTGATACAAAATCTTACTGGGGATTAACAAAACTAATAAATAATGTCAAATAAAATAAAAAAAAGAATATGAATTAATTTTTAGTACGACTAATGTAGATGGTTATTATTTTAAGTCTTCTTCACTTTATCATTACGATAAAATTCGCTAAATTCTGAGTTAGATCGACTTATTGTTAGGATGATTTGTAATCTATTTTGATGAAGATTTTATTAATAAAATCTTAAAGGTTGAAAAAACGACAAAGTTTACAAAAAGAAGGGACTTGTTATCAGCAAAATTGTCTGTACTTTCTTATAAAATTCTATTTTATATTACATATTTTGTCGATATCAGCAACCTTTGGCTAATAATATAAAACCTTCTAATGCATTTTGTACTGTATACAACGAGATTTAGCTATGTTTGATGTCCTCAGAAAGATTAAGTTATAGAATGTTTTCATGGAAAATACTTGATTTATTTGCTTATATATTCAACTGATCTATATGAAAAATTAAGCTGTTTTAGTTCTCTGCTGAATAGAATGTGAATACATGAGAAACAATTATTTTTTCCTTTTCTTTACATAAGGATATGATTCATGTCGCATACCATTAAATCTGGACAATAGGGTATGGTGTGGATGAAGAGAATATCTACATTCAAATCAGAAAAAGTAAATTTTATTGGTACATATCAATATGTATCCGAAAGACTTTCTTTGTCCAAAAATGAATTAAGAGTTTTTTTGTCATACGATATAATCACAAAGAGTATACATTCACACTAATAAAAGAAATATCGTATGTTTACACTTTGATACGTTAAATATTTTTTGTTGTTGCAGGAAATCGAATTACTATTTTTTCGATAAGATTCAGCCGCATCACAGTGATCCAATCTTGATCATTGATTTATTTTTCAACATATTTTTTGGACTAAATTTTACTACAGTACGATACGTTTTATTTTAGTGTTTTGACTGAGCTGGGTGCCAGAAGTCAAACTTGTCGATGATAGAACATATTTCATATTGTTTCATGTTTTTTTTTCGAAACGAATGTTTTTGAAACAGTCATTCTCATTGATATCACTCAGATGCTTTCTTACGGTGAAAATAAGAAATTTTTGAACAGTTGTTCGATTTTAATGATCTTTTTAACATTATACTAATCATACATCATACATAGGTTCTAACGTTCTTTTAACACACAAGGCAGAAATTTTCTCATTGTCACTGTGATGCACATTAAAATTGTACGAATCTCACATGTGGACAAACACAATTGGAATATTAGTTTTTTATGAATCTTGGATATCAATGGAACAAGATGTCTTTTTATTATACCATATATATTCCAAATGAGTTTAATATAAATCAAAAAACATATTAACAAGCTTATGAGTGATGATAAATTCATTCTGTCAGTCTTACTGAGATACAGTCATGATTACATTTCACACACTGAAAAAACGGGAATATAGTAGTACTTGTCTATATACTACTTGGAAATAAAATGCAACTTTCATTATCACATATGGCATCAGTATCCGGAAATAAAACTATTTTCATTCAAATAATAACTGTTCTATCGAAATAGACAAAAAAAACCAAAGATTAATTTTATTTTAAAATCCATAACTGCAAGTAGACAATTTGTAAAATATTGTAATAGCAAATCAATAAAAGCTTGCACGAGTTTCATTCCTAAATATATAGATAAATATTTTTCTGAGTATAATGAATATTTTGTTTATATAAAGGGAATTTTCTGTCTTTCTAACGACCACTTTTAAACCATGTAAGTATCGATGGAAAGAACACTACAAAAAATGCAAAAGAGATGAAAATAATGACATTATAAATGTAACTAATATCATGATAAATATGAATCATATGTAATTAATAAAAACCTAAAACAATTTATTGTAATACGCTGTAAAAATTAACTGAATAATTGTAATCACATAGTAATTCATTTTC